AAAAAAATTTTTTTGTTCTAGTTTTAACTAGAATTTAATAATTCAATTTTACCCTAAATCTAGTTAAAAATAATCTTTTCATTACGATCCGTATCACAGCTTTTCAACCAAATCGACAGTACGTAATAAAAGTTCAAATTTACAATTAACCGTGACATATAATTATGGTATCCCAAGCAGGAGTGGGAGCGACCTCGGTAGAAGTCGGTAGGTATCCTGAAGTCAACTATAGCTTTATTTGAAGGTTTTTGTATCATAATTTACTCAAATGTCAATTGCAATAATATCCATATAGCACTTAGGATAAAACCTCTTACACTTGAAGACTTGGAGAAAATGCCAAGTCGTTTTCAACGTCATGTCATTACGACATCATACACGCCAGGCCAGGTCATAGTTGAAGCAGACAAAAGACAAACATTTCAGGTGTGAATTTTTTTGATGCGTATATAATTATTGGGTTTAAAAATTTAAAGTTATTCTTCATATATATTCTCTAGTATGATTATGTATTCGGACCAGATGCCTCACAAGAAGAAGTATACGAGAAATCAGTGATTAACTTGCTTGGAAAATTTCTGGAGGGTAAGTAGTCGATGAGAAGTATCATCTTTTTACATTTTTAATAATTGAACTTTGTACTCACTATTCTCACTATTTTAAAGGCTACAATGTAACAATTCTAGCCTATGGGCAGACCTCATCAGGAAAAACATATACAATGGGCACGGCTGATAATGTATTTATACCTCCCGAGTCAAAAGGAATGATTCCTCGTACAATGTCCACGCTTTTCGAAAAAATAGAATCAGAACAATGCAAAAAATCGAAATTTACGGTAAAAGTTTCGTTTATTGAAATTCATAATGAAGATTTAATTGATCTCCTTGGAGAAGGCGAAGAGGATGAAAGGCCACCGGTCACTATTAGGGAAGACTCCAAAGGAAATATCTATTGGACTGGCTTACAGGAGGTTAAAGTAAATAACGTGGACGAAGTTATAAGGTTCAATTAATTTCTTACATGATTTTCTTTTTCTTAATTTATGTCAATTAATGCCGGTCATATTATTTAGATATTTATTACGAGGATCAGAGAATAGACAAGTAGGAGTTACAGATATGAATGCAAAGTCTTCCAGGTCGCATGCAATTTTTTCAGTTACAATGATACATAAAAAGTTTGTGCCTTATGGATCACCAACTACACCGTCACCTGACTCGTCTCAAAATGTGGATATCCATGATTCACTTGCAAAAGCAAACACAAATTTTGAAGGATTTGATGATGGAGAATGGGAGACAATAACGAGCAAATTCCACTTTGTAGATTTGGCTGGAAGTGAGCGGGTATGCTAGAAAAAATTTCTTTTTCTTTTCTTTTTTTGTTACATATGTGGGATATTACTTTGGAATTTAACTTTCAACCTATGAAATGAATCTATCAAAGTTAAAACGTACTGCAGCAAGTGGTGATCGAGCAAAAGAAGGAATATCTATAAACTCAGGATTGCTTGCGTTAGGCAATGTCATTTCTGCCCTTGGCGATCCAAGTAAAGCAAAGCAGATGACTCATGTTCCTTATCGAGATTCTAAACTTACACGTCTATTACAAGATTCTCTTGGTGGAAATGCACAAACATTGATGATTGCCTGCGTTTCGCCTGCCGAATTCAATCTCAATGAAACAATAAACACACTTAAATATGCAAACCGTGCACGTAATATCAAAAATATGGCTTCAGTGAATAAAGAAGAATCCGGTTGGAATGATGTTACTCACTTGCAAGGTTTGGTCATAAAACTTCGTGCAGAAGTGTCTACTCTTAAAAACCAAATTGCTAATGCGAATCACCAGCAACAACTTGGTACTGGATATACTAGTCCCGGAAGAGTTACGCCTACCACGCCTACTACACCAAGTGGGATTAAACTTCCTACTAGAAGCAACTCAATATCGGTGATTCCCGGGAGAAGTACTCCAACATCCGGCATTCCAGGGAGGAGTACTCCAACCTCTGGGATTCCGGGAAGGAGCACCCCAACATCCGGAATACCGGGGCGGAGCACCCCAACTACAGGAATGCCGGGACGTAGTATGTATAATAATATTGGCAATGGCAGGGAATCGACAAATCGGATGAGACCTGGATCGCCATTAACCGCATTCACACATAATACACATAATGGCAATGCACAATTGCACAAAGACAAGGAAGTGGAAGTTTTGGAAGAACAATTAATACAACTTCAGAGGTCTTATGCGGAATTGTCCAAAAAATATGCAAAAACTTCAGCAGAATTGGCGATGCATCAAAATAATTATGATGAATTGGAGAATACTAAAAGCGAACCGCAAATTGAAAGTTATGAAACCATGATATCGTCACTTGAAAGCAATCTTGCGATCACGAACGCGGCCTTGCTTCATTCGGAAACATTATTGCAAGAACAGGAAAACCAAATGAAAGAGTTAGAACAAGAGAACGAAATAAATAAAAAAACTATAAGTGATCTTCAGAGTCGTATTGAGGACCTTGAGTCGAAACTTCAAAACCAAGAAGTTGGGACTCGGGTGAAAATACAAAGCGATGGTCGCCCAGAAAAATTTATAAGTGAAACCGTGCAATTGTTAGAAAAACGGCTAGAAGAAAAGGATGTGTACTGT